CCCCCGGAGCCTTTGGCCGGCCTTCCTCGGTCCTGCAAAGCGTGGCAGCCAGCCCAGGGGAAGAAGAGCCTGACGTCTCCGCGCCGCCTCCCCTCACCTTGCCTTAAGAAACCTACTGGACGCCAGCCCCAATTTTCGCTTCCTCTTTTGTACCAGAGTCGCCCCGCCCCGCCCCAAGCCCAGGGAGCAGCCACAATCCCCTGCTTGTAAAGAAAGGTAAATAAACGAGTGAAGTCAAGTGTGCACCGCTGTTCATTTTCTGATTGGAAGTACTGCAGGTGTTGTGCCGTCTGAGCGATGGGAGCCCTACACACATGTAAAGAAGTGTGCATGTGCGTGTGTGTATGGACCGTGGCCTCCTGGACAAAGTGACATCCTCATCACCGGGCCAGGGTCCCTGTCTGTCACCCCAGCCCCCGTGCGGGCCACACCCTCCGCCAGGTCTTAGGCTCCAACTGGAGGCAGGCCTGAGACCTAGGTTTAGGGTTCACTCTGGTATTTTCTAACCATGTACCTTCAGCCAATCTGAGCCTCAGTTGCTTCATCTGTAAAACAGGCATAAACCTAACTCTCTCTACTCAAAGTAAAGATGAATGCTTGTGTCTCTCTGTCTCCCTCCCATCTCTGTTTGTCTCTGTCTCTCTGGTCAGGGTCTTACTACGCAGTTCAGGCTGACCTTGAACTCACTGTGTAACCCCGGGGAACTCGTGGCCATCCTCCTGCCTCAGCTTCCTGAGTGCTGGGGTTACAAGTGTGAGCCACAACCAACATCATATGTTACTTCTTGTCTCCCAAGTCTTGCTAACAGTCGTATTTCCCCCTGTGGTACCAGGGATCGAATCCACCGCCTCACACATGCTAGACAAACACCTGACCACTGAGCTACATCCCCAGCTCTTTGTAGTTTTGGGACAGATTCTGTCTAAATTGCCCAAGCTAGGCTGGAACTTGTAACCCTGCTGCCTTAGTCTCCCAAATAGTCTGGGATTATAGACACAGTCTTAATTTATTTATTTATCGATACTGGTAATTGAATCCAGGATCTTAGTACCAAGCTGCATCCTGGGACCTTTTTAATTTTAAAACAGTCTTGGGCCAGGGATTTGGCTCAGTGGTTCTAGGGATTTGGCTCAGTGGTTCTATCACCTGCCTCGAAAGTGCAAGGTCCTGAGTTCGATCCCTGATAACAAAAAACAAAAAACAGAGTCACTAATTTGCTGAATTGCTCTGGCTGGGCTCAAGCTTCTGATCCTCCTTTCTCCCATGAGGTTACAAGTGTGTGCCACTGTAACTGGCTCCAACACAGTCTTCAATTTTCTTCTTAAAAATCTTTTCCTCCTTCCTTGTCTTTTTTTTTTTTTTTTTTTTTGAGACAGCGTCTCACTACATAGTTGAGACTGACCTGGAACTCACTATGTAGCCCAGGCTGGTCTCGAACTCACAGCAATCCTCCTGCCTCAACCTCCCGAGTGCTGGGACTGCAGGTGTGTCCCACCACACCCAGCCCTGTGTTTAATTCTTAATAGGCTGAGGTTTGCAGTTTTCTAGAACTTCCAGGGAGGGGGCACACATCAGTTTCAACAGCAATTTAGCCAGATGACCAGATCTGATGCCCAGGCTGGATAAATGTAGCCCCTTGTACAACTGGTTTTAACACACAGCCATTTGTAGCTGACCTGGGTATATTGGTGTATTACTGAAGGTGACGATCTGATTAGACATTGCTGCATTTATGAGTTTCATAGAAAAGTTCTCTCAAACTTCAGGAATGGGGGAAAATATGTATATAAATATATATTTATCCCTGTGTAGCCCAGGTTGACCTTGAACTCATGGTGATCCTCCTGCCTCAGCCTCCCAAGTGCTGAGATTACCAATGTGCACCACCATGCCCAACTGAGAAAGGTATTCCTCCTCCTCCTCCTCCTCCTCTTCCTCCTTCTTTTCCCTTGAGTTTATTGGTACATTTTAGGTATACAATAGTTATATTCATCATTGGGAACTTGCACCCTTATATGATGTATCTTGGTTCTTATTTCTTCCCCATTCCCCTGCCCTCCCTTCAGCCCCTCCACCCCTCACTATTTACAGAGACTTTGTTTCCATTTTTCCGCTTTGGGAAAGGCATTTCTTCTGATAAACTGTTTGCTTTTACCTTTTAAGCACTGAGGACTTTACAGATGATCCTGTTTCTGTTTGCCCTGGTTTCCAGGGAGCTCAGAGCCAAATTGGTTTAACACTTTATTGAGCACAGATCCAGAACTTCGTTATGTCTAGTTTCATCTTGTTTTCCCTTCCTTTGTTAAAATCATTAAAATGCAAAGGGGTGGGCTGGGAACATAGTTGTCTAGCATGCACAAGGCCCTCACCCAACAGGAATCACAAGGAGGTGGTGCAGTATGAGGGGTCTGCTGTATTATCCTGGAAAAGTAAAAGTTTAATCTGGATGTGGTGGCACACGCCTGTGATGCCAGTATTCTGAGGCTGAGGCAGGAGGATTGCATGTTCAGGCCCAGCCTAGGCAATTTAGCAAGGCCCTGGGTCTGATGAACAGTACTGCCAAAAAAAGGGTGGGGGGAGTGATATCCAAAGAATGTGAAGCTCACCAAGCAAAAGGAAGGGAGCTGGGGAAAGGGAAGCCAGGAAGAGGGGATAGTGAGTACAAAAGGCTTCGTTCTAGGCACAGCAGAGGAGTCCTGCAGAGGAGCAGAGGTGACTGGGTGGATGGGAGGTGTGCTGGGTTAGAGAGAGTAACCTCCCTGAAGACGTGCAGATGGAACCACAGACCTCTCTGAGGAGCCCCAGGGGGAGAAGATCCTATGGCCCAATGCCTTTGCCCCACCAGTTGGCAGGAAGATAGTGGCAAATGTTAGAGCCAGGTGTCGGGAGCGTGCTTGTAATCCCAGCACTATAGGAGGCTGAGGCAGGAGGATTGAAAGTTTGAGCTCACACTAGGCAATTTGTCAATATAGTGAGACCCTGTTTCAAAATAAAAAATAGGGCTGGGCAGATAGGTGAGTGTAACGGTCCTGGAGAAAGAAAAAAAAAAAGAAAGACAAGAAAATCATATTACTTCTTTGCTCATACATAACCCTCTAGCCATTAAGAATAAAATCCAGAGCTGGGCGTGGTGATACAGGCCTGTAATCCCAGCACTTGGGAGGCTGAGGCAGGAGGATCGCTGTGAGTTCGAGACCAGCCTGGGCTACATAGTGAGTTCCAGGTCAGTCTCACCTACTAGTGAGACCCTGTC